CTGATTGCTCATCCTCAAAGAGCTGAGGTGAAGGCGCTGTGAGTACCCGTCTCTGAATATCTTCCAAGTTTAAAAAAGCTTCCTTTGCTCTTTTCTGAATATCACTGAAGTGGTTTCTGTTCAGACTCCTACAACATGCTTTTGCCGATCTAAGTCTTTGGTATAGAGAGGATATCGGTTCAGAAGGAATAATAGGCTGTCTCCAAGCCTCTTCAATGAGACTAGTAAAATCTGGATGAGCTGAAAACATATTGTAGTAGAGAAAACGTGACTTCCTGATACCCGGCTCAGTTCCCAAAGATATCAAACAAGGAGAATGATCAGATGAACCTGGTACATCAAAATAAGCATTAGAGTCTGGGTACCTCTCAAGCCATGCCTCATTTATAAGCGCTCTATCGAGTTTCCTGGCCTTAGGATTGGTTGGACTTTTGTTTGTCCAGGTAAAATAGCATCCTCTAAAGGTTAAGTCAAAAAGTTCACTTTCAGCCAAACATTCACTAAAATTTTCCATGCCCTGAATGCAGAGTATTGGCTGAGATAATGAGTAGACTTCTGATACCGAGAGAACTTGATTAAAATCTCCAAGGATAATCCAGGGAGATTGACTAAGCCTGGTTGAATGCGCCAATTCTTTGATTTTTGCCCAAAGAGAAACCCGTTGCTCATATCTGTTTCTTGCATAGACAAATGCCACTGAAAACTCCTGCCCTGAGACCGGGTTGAAAATCCCACATAGTACCATCTGAGGGGACTTATAATATACAATGACCGAGACAGCCGGGTCCCAAACTACCACAATCCTTCCATTATTTGCTTCATCTGAATAGTTCGCATCGTATCTCCAGCCCGGAGTAATTGTACTCAAAATACCGTTTAAATTTTCTTCTTGCACATGTGTCTCAAGTAAAGCACCTACTAATGGCTTATTCAGCCTTATCCAATCTGAGACTGACGTTTTCCGAGTTTCGCCATTTAGGCCTCTAATATTCCAAAAAAAGCTCTTCATTAATGAAGGCACAAAAGGGGTAGTGCTGAGCACTAGGCTTCACCAGGCTGGACAGAGCGCCGAAGTGCTTGTCCAACTGAAGCGGGAGCTAAAGCTGACTCTGAATAAGAAGCTTCACTATCCAAGTGATCTCCTGAAGAAGATGAAGCCATTAGATAAATTTTCTGTCGGAGTCTCCTCCTAGCATGCTTCCTTGACCCCGAAGGTGACTCCTCTGGAGGTTTCGATTCCATTACAGAAAGGCGGGTTCGAAGAATAGATTGAGCCTGCTGAATTATCTCCTCTTCCGCTGCAAAATGGGAATTTGAAAGAGGGGCTGATCTTGGAACCTTTGAGGAAACCGAACCGAGAGACGAGGATTTTGCTGGGGGTTTGGAACGATGAGCAACCCGAGTCCAACCAATAGAGGAAGAGACGTCATTTTCCTCCTTAGAGGCTGAGACAGCTGAGATAGAAGGCATGCTAGTTGAGCGAGTCAACTTCTCAGGGGAAGATGAAGATCCAGCAACCACATGATCTTGCTGAGTATTAACGGGAGGAGACTGAGGAGGCTTAGCAGGGGGAGCCAGTGGAGCTAAGCTGTGTTCAGCCAAAGGAACTTGAGGAGGATTGTCCGACTTAGCGAGATCAACTGAAGGAATGACTGTAGGTCCAGGACAACGCATACTCAGATGACCAAAGTCCCCACAAACTGCACATTTAGGAGGCATCTTGAGGAACTCAACTGAAATGAGAACTGAATTCCCAAGCTTGTCAGTTATACGAGCCACCGAAGGTTTCTTTTTCTCTAGTTCCACCACTACCCTTAGCTTGATGATTCCATTTGAATACGGTTTGATATCTGAGAATTCAGAATGTACCGGAAAGCCAACTGCTGAAGCAATGGTACTGAAACCTTGTATAGACCATAACTCTTGTGGAACTTTCGTGAATAAAACCCAGACCGGAGCGTACAACAGCTTCGTGGTAGTCATTCTGAGATTTGGAGTCCATAAAGCCACAGTAAAAGAGCAGTTTCCAGAGTGCCATAAACCCGCTTCCAGAACCCATTGACGGATCATTGGGCAAGGAATATAAATGAGAAAGATGTTCTTAGAATGAGGCTTAACCGAGATTTTTCCTTCCTTTCCCCATATAGGATTCAAGTCAGCAAGAATTTTTGCTGTTGACGGTGCTGTTCCATGGAAGAACGCAACAAGATGATCCTTCCACATAGTTGAAGACTTCAAGACAATTGAATCAGGGGCTTGAATAGATGGGATTCCGTCCGCTTCCACTGATGGTGAAGCTACTTTTGAAAGGGGCTGATAGGGAGATTTGACTTTTGAGACCCACGACTTAGGATTAGCCGTTGCTGTAGCAAAAGAAGTCTCCCGTGAAATTGGAAAAGCCGAAGAACCAGGTTGTGTTGCAGGAGCTTGAGGAGGTACCTGGAGGGAACCCACCTCTGGAACGGGAGCCAAAGGTTTGGTGAAACAAATTGGATCTGATTCTAGAGTACCAAATAGAAAAAGCAGATCTGGCGGAATTGAAGGCGGTGGGAGAACTGGGTTGGGAGTCGATGATGAGGCCATGGCAAAGAGGAACAAGAAGAAGAGGATTTCTGACGGAGAGCGTCAACGATATCTTTTTGTTGGAGGTCCACTTACATGATTCATAACGTATATATAGTTAGTTACCTACTCCATGTGACTAGGTATTTTCCAGCCTTCCATGCTTATCTAGTTATATATACTGTATATTGTAATATGCTCCCTAATGTTTGATTTTTATAACGTTTCTTATTCGGCAATTTAACATATATTTTCTTGATTAGTTGTCACTTCAATACATGTCCGTATAACAGAATATGCAACTGAAACAAGAATAAGGCCGGAGTTAAAAAAAATCAGAATTTTTTTACAAATAAATGTATAAATTATGGGGTTTTTTCAATTTTAAATGTACTACTAAATTTAGAGTTCATAATTTCAAAGAAACATCAAACATAGATAGAACTATTAACCTTTAAAAATAAATCATTATATCTAAAATATACCGTTAATATTTGAATAGGGTCTAAAAGTAATTTGAGGCAGCAATGATTTTGTAAAACTGAATACAATTTGAGAAATTGATTGAAATACTATCAGTTGGTTACAATTTTCAAAAATACATTTAAATCAAAAATATTTTAATATTTAAAGATTTAGATTTTAGTATTTAAATGGTGGTGTTTAGTTTATATATGTATACTAGGTGTTTTGCCCGCACTTGCGGGCTTAATAATTTTACTAATATCTATAAATAAATATATAATCAAATTATGTAAATTATAATAAATTATTGTTCATAGACTCAAATATTTAATAATAAACTAAAAAATTCTTTTATTTATAAAATTTTTCATAATCATATAAATAATTTTCATTACACAACTTATATTTGAAAATACTCATAAACTTAAAACATTAGTAATAAATTAATATCATTTTTAGACATAACAAAAAAAGTATAAAAAATTATCTTTAATAATGTTTTGGATAACACAATATAAATTATCTATACATAAATTCTTTACAAATTGATTTTTCATAATTAACTATATATTAACAAATAGAATTATTTTTCAACGTAATAAAGACTTTATAACACAATATAAAAAAGTTAAATAAAGATAATTATCAAATTCTTGAGATTCATTTTTAATTTATAATTAATTATATGTTAACAAATATAATTATTTTCAAGGTTGATAAAGACTTTATCACATAATATAAAAACAAATTAAAATAAGGATAATTATCAAATAAATGAAATTAGATTTTAATTTATAATTAATTATATATTAACTAATATAATTATTTTCAAGTATATTAACTAATATAATTATTTTCAAGTATATTAATTAATATAATTATTTTTCAAGGTTAATAAAAACTTTATAACCCAATATAAAATAGTTATAGATAAATATAAATCTAAAATCATTGAAATTCATTTTTTATTTATGTTTAATTAAATTAAAAATTTTAACTATTCATTAAGGGTATAAACGATATTAACCGATCTAACTTTCAATGTGATAGCTTTGTTGCAAAAATTCATTCACAAATAATAGTATAGATTAGCTAAATCACAGAAAATTATAAATTGATTAGCAAATTCACTTAAATTTTATAATTGAAAAATATATTTTTTTAAGATAAAAGTCTAATACAAAAGAACTAACGTATTTTCTAAATATATAATATTGTTAACATAAATTCTTTTTCTTTTTTTATAATAAATTATTAAAATATGAAAGTAAGCAAAATAACCTACATGGAGAAGTTGACAACTAAGCAAATTTTTACTTCTAAAATAATAATTGAAAAATATATTTTTAAGATAACAATCTAATACAAAAGAAGTAACATATTTTCTAAGAATATAATATTATTAACATAAATTCGTTTTTATTATATAATAAATNGCAAATTTTTACTTCTAAAATAATAATTGAAAAATATATTTTTAAGATAACAATCTAATACAAAAGAAGTAACATATTTTCTAAGAATATAATATTATTAACATAAATTCGTTTTTATTATATAATAAATTATAAAAACATGAAAATAAGCAAAATAACCTAAAATCATGGAGAAGTTGACAACTAAGCAAATTTACTTCTCAAATAATGTTATAGATAAACAATTAATAAACATTCATAAATGTTTTTTAAGGATTAATTAATTTTTATCTTAAATTTAGGCTATTTATGAAATTAGTCATGTTTCAATGATAAATTTGAGAAGTGATATCAAATTTGTGATAAAATTAGAATTCTCTACTTACAATTTTGAGTAACAAGGGAAATGTGAACACAATATGTAATAAAATTAAAACTGAAGATAATGTACATGTAGCGCGAGTAATACTAATACATATAATTTTGTATAAATTAAAATTTATCAGCTTGAAATTTTTTTGATCCATATATGCCTCACAGGGATTTGTTGAAGTAGAGATGAAATCATTATTAGCCAACTTGGCTTTCAACAATATCATCATGATGGTAGCGGGAAAACGATATTACGGTGGTGGCGCAGAAGACAATGACGAGGCCAGAATAGTGAGGGAACTTATATCGGAGGCGGTGGCCGGCGCTGGTGCTGGAAACCTAGCTGACTATCTTCCCATCATACGTTTGCTCACTGATTTTGAAAAACGGGCCAAAATTTTGGGGAAACGGTTCGATGGATTCTTGCAAAGACTTGTTGATGAGAAACGTGCAGAGAAAGAAAGGGGTCAAACTTTGATAGATCACTTGCTTTCCCTCCAAGAAAACCAACCTGAGTATTATACTGATGTCATCATCAAAGGAATGATACTCGTAAGTATATTAACTAATTATAGTATATAGTTATGTGTATATAATTAGAGTTTATTAACTCTTAAATATGCATATACAGTCTCTGGTAATTGCGGGGACTGACACGTCAGCAGTAACTCTAGAATGGGCCTTGTCGAATTTGTTGAACCATCCAGAGATACTTGAGAAAGCAAGAGCGGAAATCGATGATAAAATTGGTTCAGACCGGTTACTTGAAGAATCAGATATTGAGAATCTCCCTTATCTCCATTACATTGTGTCTGAAACATTTCGTTTGTACCCTCCTGTTCCTCTACTACTCCCACATTTTTCATCAGATGATTGTAAAGTTGCGGGATACGATATGCCACGTGGCACGATGTTGTTGACAAACGTATGGGCTATGCATAGAGATCCTGGTGTATGGGAAGAGCCAGAGAGGTTCAAGCCGGAGAGGTTTGAGAAAGAAGGAGAGGCTCAAAAGCTAATGCCGTTTGGGATGGGAAGAAGAGCTTGTCCTGGTGTCGAGCTTGGGAAGCGTCTAGTGAGTTTGGCTCTTGGGTGTTTGATTCAGTGTTTCGAGTGGGAGAGAGTTGGTGAAGAACTTGTGGATATGACGGAAGACAAAGGGATCACTATGCCTAAAGCTACTCCGTTGCTAGCCAAGTGCAAGTCACGTGTTGTTGCACGTAAAATGATGTAGCCTATGTAATCATTTGTACAGAAGTAGAGATGGTTTATAAAAGAAATTTGGAAATAAAGTATTGTTAAGTTTAATGCAGAGTTATATTGTGCGTTTGCTGATAGTTGTAATAGGGTTTATTGACGTCATTTTTAGTTATAGACTTATAGTTACATTTTTGTAATTTAGTTAACATTTTCTATAAATAATTATCAGTTTAATCCATTTAAAGTATAGAATTGAGTTTATGTTTATGAACCTGTAGTCTTGTTTCTTTAGAAAACAAACCTGGAATCGTGTGCATATCAAAGGGTTCGGTATAAATCTCGACATGATAATTAATATGTATAAGATCGCAAACTCATAAAGATAACTTCAAATTTATATCTGCATCCAGACAAAAACAGCAAAAGAGATGATAAAATGTGATCACTGGTTCTTTGGTTGTGTAAAATGAAATTAAATGGGCCTTTGATGAGCCTTTTGATTCATTTTCTTGCTACCGTTCCAAATTAAGAAAAAATATTAAAACATTCCAAATCAATTTAGTAATAATTATTTTTTAAAAAAATTTATGTACATATATTCGACCAACTTTGTAAAAGATAATTGTGTAATCACCACAATTTTTAGAGAATACGAATTTCAAGAGGTGGATGGCAATAATTAAATAATCCTGGAGATTGGGCCATATTCAGAACAGTGTCTATGAAGCTTATAGCTTCTCCATTTCCGGCTCCCATTGAAGCACACACTAAACCAAATGTCCCTTTTAGAACCCAAAGGCCAACACTTTTATATTTGTTGCATTCCCTTCAAAATTCGAATCATGGAGTTGAAAACGATATGAATCCAATTTACAACTACTATGTAGTAACCATGAATAGTCATTTTATTTATAAGATATATAGTCATATTTGTTTGTTAAAGTTTATTTTTGATACATTCTATGACTGATTCAGTCGGTCCTATAATTGATGTGGATACACACCAAGTTTTTAGAAGATAATCATGTGATTGTTTCATTTGTATTGCATCATAATGGAAAATAACATCTCCTGAAACTATAATTGATTCATGTCGAACTTAATTACATGGTTAACTTGGATCTCAAAACTATTCTTAAATTCATTCAAAAACCCAAATTAAATTTTCAGTTTATTGGCACGTATATGTGGTGTTTATTAGAAGGAAACGACTATTGTATGATCAAAGAATCTCTCCCTTCTAAACTTTACATTGATCTTTGACAACTGAATATAAAATAATAAACCTATAACAAATGAAAATCATTATACTATATAACATGAGCTACAAAATAAAATTGTATCGAAATAATGTAAGTGCATGGATTAATAATCTTTTAGTGACCAGCACCTCTCCTGCTCGGTCCTGAAGCCATTGTGTGCATCCTCTCTCCAGCTGAAGAGAGTGAGCGTAGCCTTTTATAACCACGTATCACGACCCCAAATAATTCTTTACTTCGTAAATCGACTCCATGATTCTTGGATTGACCTATATCCTCAGATGAGCTACCAAGGAGAAGTCTGCAATCGGCGGTTCTTGATTCCGAAAAGGCTGAAACCAAGAACATGACCGTGAATATCAAGCCAACGCGTCTCATTTTTTTGTGTGTGTGACAGTTAGGGTTCTTGGGGTTTAAGGCTTGAGACGATGAATGTGTTTTGGCGATTGATAGAAAAGGAGTAGGAGAGGAGGAAGTAAGTTATATATACAAGTATGAATAGATTCAAAGGTAGATGAAAAAGGATGGAGAGGAAGGAAGATACGAGTTTCGATAAAAATAAAATAATATCACTGTTTGTTTGTAATTGGTTAGAGAATATAGAAAGGAACAAGATGTATAATTAGACCCTCGAGACAGGGGATGGTGCTGGCGAATTAGTTAAAAAGGACGGTCTCTAGCTTACTTAGAAATGGACCTTTCGAAAAGTGCTATTTGTTTTTTTGACCAGCTAACTATTTTACAAAGATATTACAAATTACTTAGTAGCTATGAAACTATTATGGCTTTGAGCTTTTCCCAAAAAAAATATATTATGGTCTGAGCTTGTCCAAAAACCTTTTTTGATAAGTATGTGAATTATCATTGTCCAAAAACCCTATTATGTCTCTCGAATTCTTTTTTCTCAAGTTTTTCTTTGTCTCTTATTGCCTTAAGATGTGTATATGGGATTAGCTCAAAATATTAACTTGTGGGATTTATTTCTAGATCAATAAGAAAAAAAAAGTTCGAGTTTGTTAATTGAGTAGTATAAACAAGATTCCAATGAATCAATCTCTTCCGAATCAAAACTCAAGTTGTAAGATTATTTTCCAGTCCTACAATATGGTTGTAAGCTCAAGGTGATGTGTAAGATTATTTTCCAGGCAGCAGTTTATCTTATTTGGAAAGAAAGGAATTCAAGGATTCACAATGCATCTTCTCGGCCTGCTTCTTCTCTGTTGAAAGAGCTGCAGTTAATTTTAAGAGCCAAGCTTCATAGTTTGGATCAAAAGGAAAGGTTGTCTAGAATGGGCACCCAGTCCTACAATATGGTTGGCGTTTCATACCTTCAGCTTTGGTTTCAGCACTTTCAGCCATAGCTCCCTTCAGTTATACATTTGGAAACATATTTGCTATAGCAATTTCATCTCCGGTTGCGATTGAATTTCAAGTTAAGCCTTTTACATTTCATTTCGTTTTGTACTTTTGCGTTGTAAGACTATTTGGAAAGGGCATCTAATAAGAAAATGAAAAAAAAAAAAAAAAAAAAAAAAAAAAACTCAAGTTGTACTTGGTACGTCAGTATAATATTTGTAGCTTTGTTAGTGGAGTTAGGCAAGAAAACTGTCTATCATTATTTTGGTTAACATGGTTTCATGATCTAAACATGTATGCCGACAAGAAGAGTAAATTAGTCACCATGTATATACAGCAAAAAGATTGACTATAAAGCGAACCAAATGAAAGAGCTAGACTACTTGGTTAAATTATACTGAACCAATATTGTAGATAATAAATCTTGAGTGAGATTCATTTATAGCAATTATGTGCTGTAGTTGATCATTGTAATCTACGGTCGTGGCTCATTGAGGCAGGTTTGAACTTTGAAAACTGGAAGAGTACTTATGAAGGTAGGGCACGAATGCGTAGATGTGACGTAGGAGTAAAGGAATAAAGTACTTGTTTTATCTCACGCTTTCGCGAATAATTTGATCGGAATAAATTTGACCATACGAATCATCGAGACTTGTTTTGTATAGAAGTAACTTTTCCTTTGTATAGATCAAAATAAGTTTTATAATTGTTTAGTTTGTTAATCACCAGTTTTATAATAGTCAGGAGGTGGCACTTGCACGGTTGCACCCATAAAAATCATATCCTATCTTTTACCACAAAAAAAAATCATATTCTATCTTTAGTTATATGTTTATGTGTAGTTTGCCTCCAAGAAAAAAATTGTCTACATCCACCACGGTTAATCACAGTAATGATTTACCACTTAATTTAATTGCCTAATTTGTTTGACTATCACATTTTACTGACTGGTAAAGTTTTCTAGAAAAGCAATAATGATTATAGTTTGATTTTTTCTCTTAGTTTGATTAATTTTCAATATTTGAAAGAAAAATGGATAGTCAATAATTCAGTAGTATACAAACTTTTTCAGTTTTGAAACAAGAATATGTAACAAAAAAACATAGACGCCTATCTAAAAACAAAGATGATAGAAACTTGAGATATGTTAATAATTATTAAGATAAGTGATGAAATGTTGCAAAATACTACAAGTCATTGGTGAATTCAGATCAAGGATCACAGGAAAATTAAATAAAATAAAAGAGACAAAAGAGAATTAGGATTATTTAAAAATTTCAATGGCATTGCAAATCTGCTTGTTTCTCTCGATCCCCAAAAAAAACTAAAAGGAACAAAAACATAATAGCGATCGTGGCTCGTGAGAAAAGAAAGGCGATAACATAGACAGACAAATTCAGTGGTGCACACACAACATACTTGTATGGACGGACTCTAGATTTGCTTCATAGTTGTCATGATAATAACTAAGCATCTATCTATCTTCGTTCTTTTTTCCTTTTTGTTTTTAAAACGTCACTTCCCCCACATGTGCCTTTCATTTGATTTCATTATCAATCTTACATCTTCGAATCTATTTTTTCTTTTTCTTCTCCCTTTTCTTATAATCAAGATTTGGTACTTGGAAAGAACTAAAGTATGTATTAATTTAACTTTGACATTTGTTGTTATCAATTGAAGTAGTGGTCAAATATGAATAGAGTGAGAATGGACGAACCGTGTGTAAACTATCACTACATCAAGATGCGAGAGTCATTTTATTCGTGTATAGATTTATGAATAATTGAATAATAACTTTGAGAGAGTCATTATATTAAATTTGCTTTTGAGTGGATTTAAGTAAATCAAGAGGCTAATTCAAACTCTCTTTTAAGTATTTTATTTCAAGATTCTATTTATTTTCGTGTAATTGGACGGAACAGAACAGACTAGAATCTTGATAATGAATTTATCAAAATGCAGAATTTGATTCCAATATTAATGGACTGCCATGTCCAAACTATATATAGCTAACATTTATTTTCTTCTTATATCATTTTGGACAAACCAAGATTGATTTATTTCGTTCACCTTTTTCCAAGAGAGGAACAGTGAACCGGATTCTAGGTAATTTGTTTCTAAGTTTTATTTAATAGTTTGGAAGTAGTCACTTCGCCTCATATTAATATATGGAAAGAACGTTTCCTGATGATCAGCACAATGGTTTCTTTGTCTCTTACCGCGGATTAAATGAACAAATGTGTTATAAAAGGAGCAATGTGAGATAGTATTATAATATATTCTACATACAAAATTATCACTAAAATGGCTGCCATCGTATTTACTTTCAAAAACTAAACCAATTTTCTTTTGGGAAAAAAATATAGTCAGAACTCTAATGAACTTGAAATGAAGAAACTCAAAGATTTGTATCGTAAGGGTCGTAGTTCAACACCATGTACGAAGCAAGAGTTGACAAATGACCAATCCTGTCTTTTTGTGGGAAAGATATCTACCTAACAAAATCATTAACTTTTAGATGTTGAAATTTTATTAAAGTCTGGTTGTTACATGTTTTTGAAAAAAGAACCACGTGAGAAGATCAATTTTTTGGTCGTGCAAGAAAAATAGCAGCAAAGTGTTTGAACTTTAGAAGCATTGATTATTAGGTTTGGGTGTATCATATCTACCGATATTATTTAATTTTTATTATTTTTAGGGAAATTATGCCATATATATACAAAAATCACAATTTCACTAACTAATTTTTCCCCCTCTCTCATACTTTCTCTTCATATCTTTTCCTACTTTCTCAAAATTTAATTTTCCTTTTTTTGGTTATTTGGCAAATAAACCCTTATTTTTATAGGCAAAAAAAACAATGAGACAAAAGCCAAAAGCAAGATAGAGACACGTCTTATGGCTAAACGAACAAAATAAAGTCAAACTGAAACTGTAAATATAAACTTTATTCAATTGATTTACCAAAACCAACAACCAAACCGGTTTTACCAATATGTTTGAAATTCAAACTATGTTTGGTCCACAACTACACAGTATACTTCAAAATGTAGCTGCCATATGCTCCAAAAAATCAAACATTGTGTTCGGTATACAGTTAAATTTACGATACCATTAAATTTCTTTATAACCTATTTTCCTTTTCTCATTGGTGGTTCTTCTTTTTTAATCGGAACGCTCAATTAACCAGCTGGGATCTTGAAAAACAAAAAAAACAGTTGGGATCATCCCGAGAAACAGTCTAATAATATCATTGATCACGTTCTTCTGAATTCAAAACTTAGTTAAGAATAAAAATTCAACTTTGCATCTCCTCGAGCATTACTATATAAGTAAATACTAAATCCACGAAACACTCACAATAAATTTAATTATCTTATAACGAGAGAGAGAACAAAAAGAGTTAACTAAACTATGATGATGAGCAAAGGTGTTGTGGCTACGATTCTGTTCTTCATGTTGATATGTTTGGTTCTTGTTGAGACTCGTCCCCTTGCTGGTCTAACAAAGACTGAAGAGAAGAAGCTCGTGGCGGGTTTTTTCGATGGCTTATCACTTGGTTCGATCAAAAACTCAGGCCCCAGTCCAGGGGAGGGTCATAATTTCGTGGATAGGAGTGATACGTCCCGATTTGAAAAGCATTCCGGTCCAAGCCCAAGAGGACTCGGTCACTAATTTTTCAAAATTTTAGTTTAACTCGGACCGGTTTAAGTGCCCATCCCCATCTAGGTCCAATAATATAGAGTTTCATTTTTTTTGCTACACACAATAATATCAAGACTTGAATGTCTCATTTTTTTCATATCAGTAGGATTATCGTTTTGTTAGTTATTTGATGATGTACAATGTGATGTATGTGAGTTGTCACAATTAAAGTATAGAGGAAACCCCTATTTCTGCTTAGCCTAATTTTGTTTGTTGTTGCTAATAGAAGAATCCTCATCAAGATAACTTATTCATATATCATTATGATCTGGCTTAGAGGCCTGCATGTACATACACTGAGTTGATTATTTGATACCCCTCTCACATTTTCACTTTTGAGATCACACAGTACATATGGTCATTAGAAACCCTTGACGATAAGTAATTGCAAACAGTGCTGTTATTATTAATTTAGTAGCCGTTTTACACATTTATATGCGTACACTACAAGAAAACATTAATTTAGTAACTATTTTTGTAACTACGATTTGTAGTTACCAATATATGTTACTTATTTTTAACGATTTTACAACTATTTGGCAACTACAATAAAAACGTTGTACATTAGTTGCGATTTTGTGACCAAATATTGTGGTTATAATTCAGTTGTTTTATTGTAACATATTTGCAACGAATTGGCNACACTACAAGAAAACATTAATTTAGTAACTATTTTTGTAACTACGATTTGTAGTTACCAATATATGTTACTTATTTTTAACGATTTTACAACTATTTGGCAACTACAATAAAAACGTTGTACATTAGTTGCGATTTTGTGACCAAATATTGTGGTTATAATTCAGTTGTTTTATTGTAACATATTTGCAACGAATTGGCAATTATATCATGTGGTCCCTTAGTAGTTGCAAAAGTATAACTAAAATGCAACCACATGTGTAGTCGGAAAAATCTAGATACACTTTAGTTGCAAATGATTAAAATCTTGTAGTTGCAAAATTGTTACACGTTTTGGTGACGATTATGTAACTAGGTTGGTGGACACATGTTTTTTGAACAGCAAGTAGGTATAACTAATTTGCTACAAGTTGCAGAAGAGTCTCACATTGTCTATTTAAATCAATCGTATTCTCATCTCATTTGTGAGAAAGTTATTAAAAAAATTCTTCATCTCTTCTCATATCATTTGGGCAAAAGGTTTTTTTTTTTTATTTTTTCTTATAGCAACCAAAAATTTACCGTGAAAAGAAAAAAAAAATTACCTTGAAAAAAAAATACCGTGAAAAAAATATTTACCGTGAAAAGAGAGAAAGTTTTATAAAAATATGGGAGAGAATTATAATTACTGGAAATCTCGTGAGTGGATGTACAAAAGGATCGATGAAAGGACGAATAATATCTCAGCCGAGTTTGCAGCAGGGGTGGAAGAGTTCATGAATTTTGCAAATAGTCAGCCATTAGCACAAAGTAGTGGCGGTAAGTTTTACTGCCCTTGTAGTGTATGTAAAAATGATAAATTTCTTACGGGGCGTAAAATTTGGAATCATCTATATAGTAGAGGATTTATGCCAGAATATTACGTTTGGTATATGCATGGGGAACAATTGAATCTTGACTTAGGAACAAGTCATGTTAATTCGAATCACCCCAGTGGCAGCCAAACCGAAGTTAGTAATATAGATGATAGATATGTCGACATGGTGAATGATGCCTTTCGTGATACATCAGTTTTTGATAACTATCATCAAGTCGATGGTTATCAAAATATGGAAGAGTCTAATTACGAGTCACAAAAATTTTACGATATGATGGAAGCTGCAAAACAACCATTGTATGATGGTTGTCACAAAGGTCACTCTCAATTATCTTTAGCAGCTCGATTCATGAATATCAAGGCGGATAATAATTTGGGTGAAAAGTGCATGGACTCGTGGGCAGAACTTTTTACCGAATATCTACCGGCGGGCAATCAAGCAACTGGTTCATATTACGAGACAGAGAAGTTGATGCGAAATTTAGGGCTCCCATTTTATACAATTGATGTGTGTATCAACAATTGTATGATCTTCTGGAAAGAAGATGAAAAGTGGGATAACTGTCAATTTTGTGATGCACCACGATATAAGCCTAGCGAGGGTCGAACCAAAATACCATTCAGCCGTATGTGGTATTTACCTGTTGCTGATAGACTGAAGAGGATGTATCAAAGCGAGAAAACTGCGGCTGCAATGAGATGGCATGCTGAGCACGAAGCACCCGAGGGAGAGATGTGTCATCCATCTGACGGAGCGGAGTGGAAAAATTTTCAACAACTACATCGTCAGTTTGCTGATGAACCCCGCAACGTTTACTTGGGTTTATGTACAGATGGATTTAATCCATTTGGTATGTCCCGTAATCATTCATTATGGCCTGTAATCTTGACGCCATATAACTTACCTCCTGGTATGTGTATGAATGAAGAGTACATGTTTCTTACAATTTTGAATTCTGGTCCAAAGCATCCTCGATCGAGTCTTGACGTTTTCCTTCGACCCCTTATTGATGAGCTGAAGGAGTTATGGATTAATGGAGTCGAGGCATTTGATGTATCATCAAATCAAAACTTTAATTTAAAAGCAGTGCTTATGTGGACAATTAGCGACTTTCCAGCCTATGGTATGTTGTCTGGATGGACGACACATGGTAGATTATCGTGTCCAATCTGCATGGATGATACAAAAGCATTTCAGTTGACAAATGGAAGGAAGACATGTTGGTTTGATTGTCATCGAAGGTATCTTCCTCATGGTCATCCACTACGGAAGAACAGAAAAAACTTTCTAAAAAGAAAGGATGCTTTGAATGATTATCCACCAGAATCTTTGACGGGTGAACAAATTTTAAAAGACAAGATAAGGCGTGTCAATCCACCAAAGACATCTGAATGTGGTGGAAATGGTCATGATGTTAAAAAGAAAGGATATGGGAATTGGCATAATTGGCATAAAGAAAGCATATTTTGGGAGTTGCCATATTGGACGGACCTCAATCTCAGGCATAATCTTGATGTGATGCATATTGAGAAGAATTTTTTTGATAACATCATGAACACTGTTATGAACGTTAAGGGCAAGTCAAAAGATACTGTGAAGGCAAGACTGGATATAGCAATTTTTTGCAATCGGAAAGATTTGCATGTTGATGATTATGGTAGAGCTCCATTTCCTATCTTCAGATTGACACCACTCGCAAAAAAACGGTTATTGGAATGTGTTAAAAATGAGGTTAAATTTCCTGATGGCTATGCATCAGACTTAGCCAGTTGTGTCGACATAGATGGAGGAAAGTTTTCAGGTATGAAAAGTCATGATTGCCATGTTTTTATGGAGAGACTACTTCCATTCATCTTTGCAGAACTACTACCGCAAAACGTACATCTTGCACTTTCAGGTACCAATAACAAATTTTACGTATGTGATTCATTAAACATAATGCTAACTAATTGTGTGTTAAAAAAATTGATTCTCGTAGGGATTGGAGTTTTCTTTCGCGACTTATGTTCTAGATCATTGAAACACTCCACTATTCGAGCTTTGAAGGAAAACATAGTCATAATACTATGTAATTTGGAGAAGATCTTCCCACCTGCTTTCTTTGATGTGATGGAACATTTAGTTGTACACCTCCCGTATGAAGCTGAACTAGGCGGTCCCGTGCAATATAGGTGGATGTATCCATTTGAAAGGTTTTTCAAAAAACTGAAAAGCAAAGCTAAAAACAGAAGGTATCCTGCAGGATCGATTATCCAGTCATATATTAATGATGAGATCTCTTATTTTTCGGAACACTACTTTGCCTCACATATTAATACGAAATCAAGGTAAAGCTACAAAATATTTACTAAGTACACAATTGTTATTTACATGTAATTTTATTTGTTAAATATTTTTTTTTTGTATCAGGTTCACTAGATTCGATGAAGGTGAATCTCATGTTTATCAGTTTCCAGATATACCAGATATATTTACTCACGTGGGTCGTCCAAGTGGAAAAAGAAAAGAAATATGGTTTTCTGAGAAAGATTATCAATGCGCACATGCGTATGTTTTGCGCAACTGTGAATATTTCCGACCATATGAAAGGTAAATATTTTAGTTTCAGATAAAAAGATCCCAATAGTGAATAATATTTCTTTATATTTATTTCTGTATAACTATTTTTTCTATTTTAGGTTACTTGAAGAAGAAATTCGGTTTAAATATCCAGAACTCTCTGAAGAAGATATTTCAAGCAAGTGCGATGAAGAATTTCCAACATGGATTCGAAATTATGTATGTTGATATCCAGAACTCTCTGAAGAACTTCGGTTTAAATATCCAGAACTCTCTGAAGAAGATACACTTAAGCTTTATAGCTGAATTTTTTTAATATACATATAGATATATTGATTCGTAAATTTTAATAATGCAGGTCGATTCAACAATCGATTCTTATTGTGTTGAGTCTTTTCCTAAGTGGGTGCAAAATGTGGTTCAAGGTCCCCTTAATAAGGCTTTCACTTGGCCAATCTATTTCACGAGAGGATATTTGTTTCATACTCAAAATTATGGACACAGAAGGAAAACATGCAATTATGGAATATGTGTCAAAGGAGCAAATTATTCAGATGCATCCGATGAAGTTGATTTTCATGGGATCTTAACAGATATCATACAACTTCAATATCCAGGATTGGTCAACTTAAGGATTACACTTTTTAAATGTCAGTGGTTTGATCCAACAATCGGCAAAGGCACGCGAATGAGCATGAATGGCATTGTTGATGTCCTGGCATCAGGAAAATATAACAAATACGAGCCTTTTATTCTCGGTAAATTTTCATATATATATATATATATATGAATTAATTAGGCTTTCAGTATAAATATTAATATTATTAATACATTTGTTTTTCCCCAATGCAGCTTCTCAAGCCGACCAAGTTTGTTATATTCCGTATCCATACATAAAACAACCGAAAAAATTGT